TTTGACAACTAAGTCTCTGAATGTAAACTTAATAGCATTTTAGATTTTCTGTCCACCAGGAAATTACTTAACCAATTTATTTTATTTTATTTTTTTTAATATATTTTTATTGATTTCAGAGAGGAAAGAAGGGAGAGAGACAGAGAGCAAGAAACATCGATGAGAGAGAAGCATCGATCAGCCGCCTCCTGCACATCCCCCAATTAGCATTTTAGATTGTCCACCAGGAAATTACTTAACCAATTTATTTTATTTTATTTTTTAAATATATTTTTATTGATTTCAGAGAGGAAAGGAGAGTGACAGGGAGATAGAAACATCAATGAGGAGAGAGAATAATTCATTGGTTGCCTCCTGCATGCCCCACGCTGGGGATTAAGCCCGCAACCTGGTCATGTAACCAGGAATTGAACCATGACCTCCCGACATGGGATCTCCTGGTCTATAGGTCGATGCTGAACCACTGAACCATGCTAGCTGGGTCCAATTCATTTTAATTCCTTGGCCTATCCATCTCTCCTCCCCAGAAAGTTACGCCTCTCTTCTTGGGTTATAGACTGTGTCATTGTACATCTCCAACATCCACAGTTTCTATTTTATTCTTTTTATCTTCACTTCTAAAGTGGGAACATTGAGGGGAGATAAATTCTTTAAAAATGTTTCTTGCCATTATGTTCATCCTAAAGCACAGTGAGTGGTGCTCAGCGGGTTCTCCTTAAATTTTGTACCTTGAACAAATGGTACAGATCTCAGCTCCAAACAGCCGAGGACAGCTGGGGTCCAGAATCCTTTGGGATGAATGAAAGAGTGCCTCAGGATAAACAGTAAATGCTTGCAACATTGTTCCAAATGACTGACCTGGATGTGTAGCATGTGTTGCCAGAGGAATTTTGGTTCAGGGATTGCAAGATACCTTCAGCCTTTCTGGTGGTGGTGAGTTTTATGAGAGATGCTGGGGTGGGACTTGGCTGTTAGTCACAATTGTTGCAAACACTAATATCTCTGACAATAACTAAGGCTGTTTTGAAGTTGGTCCCTGAAACATGGGCTCATCCCCTACTTATGCCTTAAACACCCCAGACTTACACAACCAGAGACTGCCCTGGGCCCTTTCCACATACCTCACCAGGCAGGGTAGCTGATCCCCACAGGAACAGGGCATCAGAGGTAAAATCCCTGTTCACCTGGGCAGGAAACCATTGAAAAAGAAGACAAAGTGATGAGCATATGGTATCTAAAGTAGAATTTAAAAAAAACTTATGTCACATTCTTATAAAGGTATACATAGTATAGTACTACAATGAAGAACAAACACAGTACACGATAGGGCTTATGAATGTAATACAGAGAAAAATAAGGCAGACACAATAGAATAATACATAGAATATGTTTCCCTTCAAGTAAGATTTGAAAGCGGGGCAAATGGCAGTGTTCAGGAATGTATGCTTAGGTGGTAAAATGAAACGGAGAGAGGGTCTCATTAAAAAAGTTCAGATGATAGTTTTGAAGAATAGAGAAAGCAGGCTGGTGCAGGTGGTGGCAATGTTTAATTGCCGTGGGGGACAGTCACAAGTGTAAGATTCATTAGGCTGTGTATTGTAGTTTGTTGTACTTTTCTGCATATTTAATCTATATTTAAAAAAAAACATGGAGAGACCACGGGACAATCTAATTATTTACATTGGTGAGCATGCATAAAAATAAACAAAAAAACCCAGAAAACATATATTGCTTTTTTGGCTTTTTTGGAGGGAAATTGAATGGTGATGAAGATTAAAGGAATATTGTTGGGGTCCATCCCCAGCAGGTCCAGGGGTTCCCAAAGGTGTGGACGGAGTCAGCGAAGAAGGAAGAAATGACACGGAAACAGCGTTCAGTTGATCAGCAGCCTAGCCAGGATCTCTAGCCAAGATCTCCAGCCAAGTTCCGGTCTGGATCTCCAGTGAAGTTCTGGTGGTTATTGTCTTGTTACATCTGTATTTATACCAGTTGATTTTAATCCTGTCAATTTCTATTGCAAAGGTTAGAGTGTTTCTTATCGCTATTCCAGGGAGTAAAGATTATGTAGCTTAAGCATGATTGTTTGTAGTTAAAGTGTTTAACTACCCACCTGGCACTTAGTTAAAGGGTTTTATCCCCTTCCTAACTTCAGGGAAAAATCCTTATCTGGGGAAACAACATTTCTCTGAGA